ATCTCTGACAGGTATCTCCGTTCAATGAGAATGTTTCTACATTATTTCGAAATATGAAATTAGTTCCATTCATCAATATTGTCACTTATTTCATAGTCCCACTACTTATGATACCCCCCTCGTACATGTAGTTTTGGAAAAGATGCATTAACTAACAAAACCATTTGTTTAATTGTTTGTTTTTGAAATTTATTTTCAGTAAAAAGAATGTTTTATTTCATTAACTCAAAGTCAGGGAGAACAAAGAAGATATTAAAATAAAAATAAAGAAATAATTGAATGGTTTTTCTATGGGATAAATAAATAGCATAAATTTGTGATATTTTTATCCCACCGAACGAAGTTCGAGGGGGATATAGAGAAGCCGTCCGTCCAAGCCATAACTCCATTACCGGTTGACGGATTTGGTTCAAATTTTATAGGCTTATGCCTTATGAGTGTAGGACCTCTGCTCGAGAAGGAATTTTCAATATGGCCACTCAATTCAAAATGGCCGCCATTTTTCGTAAAAAATGTAATCGTTGATAACTCAAATACAAGTTGACAGATTTGGTCCAAATTTTATATGCTGATGCCTAGGGACAAAGGAGTTTCGCTTTAAAAGAGATTTTCAAGATGGCCGCTGAATTTCAAAATGGCGGCCATTTTTCGTAAAAATATGTAATCTTTGATAACTCAAATACCAGTGAACGGATTTGGTTCAAATTTTATATGATGATGCTTAGGGACACATTAGCTATGTTCGACAAAAAATTTTCAAGATGGCTGCTTAATTTCAAAATGGCGGCAATTTTTCGTAAAAAACGTAATCTTTGATAACTCAAATACCAGTGAACAGATTCGGTTGAAATTTTATATGATTATGCCTAGGGACACAGTAGCTCTGTTCAAGAAATAATTTTCAAGATGGCGGCTGAATTTCAAGATGGCGGCCAATTTTCGTAAAAAACGTAATCTTTGATAACACATATACCAGTAAACGGATTTGGTTCAAATTTTATATGATGATGCCTAGTTCACAATGGTATAAACTAACTTTGTGCCAAATTTCAAGTGCACAAACATTTCAACATTTACACTAGCTATAATAAGCATAATATGTTTTGTTCGGTGGGATTTGCTACTCTGTGGAGTTGCTGTTTTTCTAGTTTTAATTTTTTTAGTTGATGTTGCACTTTTAGAATTCTTTATTTAATCGAGTTGCTTGCAACAGTGTTTAATTTTTTACTTTTGAAATTATAGATTATATTTTGTCTGAATGATAGGATGTAATAGGGAAATGTTTCTTTTACTATGTCAAGCTTACTGGTTAAGAAATAAACCTCACTAGAAATAAGCCTATAGAATTGTCTGAGATTTGATAGACCTAGACATCTACTAGAAGCTTCAATGTTGTTGCCAGAGTTGTTGGCATTCTTCTAGAATTAAGTAAAAGATTGAAGAAGTACCTCAGTCATTAATATTATTATTTAAAGAAGATTTATATGAGCTATGATACTTATAAACACTTGTCTACCTATAGTATAAGCACTAAACATTTAACTTAACATTTTGTATGATTTATGCATGCATGTTGACTTATACGCAATACTTTCTGTATGTTTCTTTTCCCCCAGTTTCCAATTGGTACAAATCCTTGGCACACTAAAAAGAACAGTAACAGTGTTTTTTGTGTGTTGTGTTACAAATGAAAGCATTACATTTAAAGCCTGATATGACAGTTATGACATGTTAGATATGACATGCTAGATATGACGTGTTCAATATGCTTAAATTTGCATTCTCATAGGCGATGTTTGATTTTGTACAAATTATTGGATCGCACTTGACTCGAAGGCCAAATGTAGTATGCTTGAGCTCAATGACTAAATTTTATTTTATAAATCATTCAAGCCTACTTGATTATCGAAGATAATTATTATTGTATATAAACATTAATTTTCTATGTGATAATGCCAAGATAGCTTGAGAAATGTGGAATTTCACAAGCAAAATAAATCAAAGATGTTCATAATCAGATTTTGTTTTTCATCGTGGCACGAACATGTTATTCTACATTGATGCATTTCTATTCTTTGTAAGAAATCTCCAGTGGATGCTCTAGTGTTTGTGAATTGTTGGATTATATGTGCTTCCATATGTATGCACTCTATCTGAGTTTAGCTAAAGTAGAACCTTTAGCCAAATAGATGTATATAAACCCTCTCTTAATATTAAGTTCCCCTGTTATCTTTGTCCTATTGTGTTTGTCATGATCTGTATACTGTATATCATAATTTTCCTGTTATCATGCAAGTATATTTCCTATCTCTAGATCTATCTCTTTCAGTAAATACCTCTCAAGGTAGATACCCCATCTCTTACAGTAGATGCCTTATCTCTGCTATTGTACCATGTCATAAAAATTGAATTGTTACCATAGTAACATATTATAATAACAACCATGCTCAACAACTGCATTGTTACTATAGTAACATTTTCTCTATTGTTACCTAGATCCCTAATACTGCATTGTAGAATCACTATTTGAACCTTATTCCTCTATATATGTATGTGTCTGTGATAGTAAGTAAAGTTTGTGGAGTCTGGATTTTCCAGTGAGAATAGGAGGGGTGAAGCCTGCCCTCATAGTGAGCCCTGTTATCCCGCCTCCCACTGGCCGGGTCTCTGTCAGTACCGATACCAACACACGGAGGCCACCTGGGCCTGTTTTGCCTACTGCTACCACCGGGAGACCACTCAGGGGTACTAGGGGTACTCTTCTCTCACCCTCAATACAAATCTAACAAGACTGAGAATATCTGGCATATCTAAGCTAGGTGGTCAGGTAGTTTGCCTGACCTCCTCTACTCTTGCTCCACTGTGTGCTACTTTAAGTTCACTTTTCAAATGGGCCTTGCTTATAATATCAATGGCTCTTGTCACTTCAGATGGAGGATATAGACAAAATTTCTTATGAAAATCAACAATATTTTTTTTGTTAAAAATTAGAGGTGGACTTTATGGATTGTGATGAGAACCATTTAGTTATCCAGGCCTCGTTTCTTTTAATTCTCAGTCTTGGGATTTTAGTGAGGGTTTATATTTAGTTAGCTTCATAGAAATTGGGATAATATATGATTCTTGGCTTCAGTAAACCCCCTCCCTCCCCCTCCCTGTACCAACTTTAGTTATACCCTAAGGTAATTGGGAGCTTGTTATCTTGCAAATAAGGTAAACTCTCCTAGCCAGCTTAAGTTAGGCAGAGCAGAATGTCTTAATGGACCTGCATGTATGTGATTGCATTATGCAGTCAACATGTAGAGGTCCAGATTTATAATTTTACTCGGCCTATTCTGTATATAGATTTCATCTTGCAATTCTCTTTAGACAAGAATCTTGCAGCATTTTTCACAGCATTTTCACGGAATTCTTTTCATGCAACACATCATTGTGAGGGATTAGTGATCCTTGTAATCATTCTACAATAATGGCAGTATTAGTTGGAGGGAAATCATAATAATATCAGATTAATGTGATGAATAATAACAATGGTGGTGGTGGTGTGTTTCAATGTAGAATGCTAGCTCAGAATGACTTGTACATAATACACTTAAAATGTAGAAATTGATATTAAAAGCTCGTGATTGTTCACCAGAATAGAGATACAATTATTTATGTCAGTATCCAAGCATTCTAGTATTATCCACATTTTTAGAATCTAACAAGCATAAATCACGTCTAACACATTATGGGAAAACAATAACTGCCTGTTAGGTATTTAGGTATTTTATAATAATCTTTGAATAATGTACGCAGTTGTTTCTGGCTTGGTTGTGCATAAACTTTACATGTTATTGACAAAGTGCATTTAGGATAATAATCTGGCATTTCTAGCTTTCGATTATTTTCATAAAATAAAATAAATATTTGTAAATCTTGTGAATATTATAATAATGTTAATTATGAAAATCGCTGCTCAGTTAAAATGAGCATTTTGACAATTGTATGGAGATGTAATATAAAATTGCCAGACGTCAAGTAATTTCAGAATTATTAGAATACAAGTTTTAAAGTTTTTATTCTTTGTTTCATATTTTTTTGATCAATGTTTGTTCTAATTCTGTTCAACATGTACTCAGTAAAGTGAAAGTTCAATTTGCCAATGTTTCAATACAGGGTGACCAAAAAATACAACCATCGAAATATCTCTCTAAGTTTTTGTAGTTACAGTTGAGTTTAAAGAAATCACATTTCTATAAAGGCATGTACATTTATTTGTAACAAATAATTTAAAAATTATGGATTTCTGTCTTTGCCATTATTAAGTCATTTTTTGTTTGCTTTCCATAAAATGTGTGAAAAAATGATAAATTGCTTTGCCAATTTGGTGAATGTTGACAAAGAACTTGTATTTTTGGTCACCGTGTATTTAGTGAATCCAGTGTCAATATTCATGTTAAATGTGTGCCCTTATGTTTAATGTTGTAAACTTTGTTATCAATTTATTTTCTTATTTTTTTCTTTAATATTGTTACCTTTACTTGTCTTTTTCTGTTTAGTCTCACAAATGACTATTTCAGGACTCACCTTTTACAATAGCATTAACAGCAGAACACTATCACAAACAAGAAACATGGAGTTACAAACATTTACTTTCTAGCAATCAAGCAAACTCTACCTTGCAGAAGAGGCATTCACCAACAGGGCACTTGAAGTTTCAAATAGTTTCCCTCTAGCAATTGGGTTAACTGGAGCTTGCAGTGTTTTCCAGCAGAAGTCTCTTGTAGTTATCATAGAGGAGGTCTTCTCAAACATACTAATCTTCAATGATTTCTGATTTTCCTAATTGTCTTAAATGGTGTAACTACAGTATATCAATATAGTAAATAAAAGACAATTGAATTTGAGATATCATAGTAGGTGGTGTTTTCAAGAAACTGGCCCAAGGTACATATGAAATGTGATAGTAAATTGAGATGTTTGAAGTATTTATTATTGTCTTTGTTATCTGCTTTAAGGAGGAACTGTAGCAGCAAGAAAAGAAGTCATCCGAAACAAAATCCGTGCCATTGGCAAAATGGCCAGGGTCTTCACCGTATTAAGGTATGTATAACTTACTTTAAAACAACAAATTTCTCCAACAATATTTTAGCATGTTCCTATTCCTGCATATCTTAAAGAGACATAAATGTTAAAATGTAAAATTTACCATTACATTTAATTACATAATTATGTGATGAAGCACAGGGTGTCCCAGAAAGAGGTAAGTTTGGATGAAACCCCCATATAGGGTGTACAACATTAATGAAGGTTCCTGGTGAAGGGATTCTGATAATATTGTGAGTTGTTTGATTACAGGGAAGAAAGTGAGAATGTAGTGCAACTGAAAGGCCTCACCCCTAATGGCTTACTTCCCTTAGGAGCTCTCTCAGGCGGCAAAGAGACGCTAAAACATGGTAGGTTCATGTTAGTGTACATGCAATAATAACCAGTTAGTTCTTCTGTTGTAGAGAGGAGAGTGAGAATGTCTTGCAACTAAAGGGGCTCACCCCCAATGGGTTGCTACCCCTTGGTGCTCTATCGGGAGGCAAGGAAACACTCAAATCTGGTATGGTATACCATATGTGCAATGCCGGCAGCACGGTGCATACATGTTGGCTTATGGTTATGGGCATGCTTTCTTGTCATTTTAGAGATTTATCTCGTGGTGCTATCATTATTTTTGATAAATATGGTCATGGTTCAAGTTTGGTTGGTGCAAGTTTTCATTCATATCTATACCTGCTTTTTTGAGCATTTTTTATCATGGTTCTATTATTATGTCAACGTCTAATTGATGAATTAAGTGAATGAATTACATTTGATTGGGTCATAATTGCTTTATTGTAACCTAAACCAGCTTTATGCTTTCAACTATCCTCTTTATTCAGAATTGACAAACATTTAATTAAGGTTCACATTTTGCCATTGTTATGCTAACACTGCTAAGGCTTCATATCCCAGAGGCACAAGCTTCCAAACTTCCGATTTTACATGTTCTGCTTTAAAAGTTGTTCCTCTTATCGCTGACCTTGTACAACTGCAACCATTTTGAAACCTTATCTACAATAAAGATTTTTATGTCACCACCAAAAGTGGTGACATATTGTTATGGTCTCCGTTTTTTTGTGACGGCGGTTGGCGTCCGGTGGTTGGCGTCCGGCGGTTGGCGTCTGGCGGTTGGCGTCTGTAACAATTTCTTACAACTTCCTATAACTTAACAAATACTGTTTAGACTGACTTCAATATTTTTCTAAATCATCTACATGTTCTCAGAAGTTCAAATCTGACTTTAGATTTGACATTTGACCTTCAATGACCTTCTCAAGGTCAAAAAGGTCTTTTTTCAACTTGCTTCACATTGACTAAATTTTTTTTCAAAATCATCTACATGTTCTCAGAAATTCAAATCTGACTTTAGATTTGACATTTGACCTTCAAATCTGACTTTAGATTTGACATTTGACCTTCAATGACCTTCTCAAGGTCAAAAAAGGTCAAAAAGGTCTTTTTTCAACTTGCTTCAAATTGACTAAATTTTCTTTTCAAAATCATCTACATGTTCTCAGAAATTCAAATCTGACTTAAGATTTGACATTTGACCTTCAATGACCTTCTCAAGGTCAAAAAAGGTCAAAAAGGTCTGTTTTCAACTTGCTTCAAATTGACTAAATTTTTTTTCAAAATCATCTACGTGTTCTCAGAAATTCAAATCTGACTTAAGATTTGACATTTGACCTTCAATGACCTTCTCAAGGTCAAAAAAGGTCAAAAAGGTCTGTTTTCAACTTGCTTCAAATTGACTAAAAAAAAATTTCAAAATCATCTACGTGTTCTCAGAAATTCAAATCTGACTTTAGATTTGACTTAAGATTTGACATTTGACCTTCAATGACCTTCTCAAAGTCAAAAAAGGTCAAAAAGGTCTTTTTTCAACTTGCTTCAAATTGACTAAATTTTTTTTTCAAAATCATCTACATGTTCTCAAAAATTCAAATCTGACTTTAGATTTGACATTTGACCTTCAATGACCTTCTCAAGGTCAAAAAAGGTCAAAAAGGTCTGTTTTCAACGTGCTTCAAATTGACTAAAAAAAATTTCAAAATCATCTACGTGTTCTCAGAAATTCAAATCTGACTTTAGATTTGACTTAAGATTTGAGATTTGACCTTCAATGACCTTCTCAAAGTCAAAAAAGGTCAAAAAGGTCTTTTTTCAACTTGCTTCAAATTGACTAAATTTTTTTTTCAAAATCATCTACATGTTCTCAGAAATTCAAATCTGACTTTAGATTTGACATTTGACCTTCAATGACCTTCTCAATGTCAAAAAGGTCAAAAAGGTATTTTTTCATCTTGCTTCAAATTGACTAAAAAAATTTTCAAAATCATCTACATGTTCTCAGAAATTCAAATATGACTTTAGATTTGACTTTAGATTTGACATTTGACCTTCAATGACCTTCTCAAGGTCAAAAAAGGTCAAAAAGGTCTTTTTTCAACTTGCTTCAAATTGATTAATTTTTTTTTCAAAATCATCTACATGTTCTCAGAAATTCAAATCTGACTTTAGATTTAACATTTGACCTTTAATGACCTTCTCAAGGTCAAAAAAGGTCAAAAAGGTATTTTTTCAACTTGCTTCAAATTGACCAATTTTTTTTTTCAAAATCATCTACATCTACATCTTTTCAGAAGTTCAAATTTGACTTTACAAGTTCTCAGAAATTCAAATCTGACTTAAGTTTGAACTCATAATATTGTGAGCAACTAGGTGGTGACATTTTGTCATGTTAATGCCTTGTTATTAATTGTTATTTTACCCTATTTTCCTGTTCCTCCATACATTGTATCTTCTCATGTCTCTTGGGTTCAAGAATTCTGCAGGGAAATGGGTGCTTTATGGGTTCATTTATGAATTTTATGGGGCTTAGGTTCATGGTTGCCTTTCCCATTACTCCTTATGTTTATTATAGATTACTACATTTTAGAAATGATTAGAAATGAATATCCTAATTAAATCCCAGAAGTGTGTATGCCATCATCAGTGAAAACCATTTAAACTGCTAAGAGTTTAACTAAAAAACTTTATGTGGTTATTTGTAAATTTTTCAAAATTTGCATTTATATTAATTTTTCCATTTGGGACATTTGCATTCTATTATGTTATGCTTCTATTATGGTGTGAAATCTTCCTTCTTTTTGAATATTCATACACCTTTTTAACTTCCAAGTTATATTTTTCAGCTATGACTGGATTCTCCCCGAGTCACAAAATCAGTGGTTTCGATGAAGCGAAGGTGTTGGACAAAATGAATGAAAGGATGCCCCCTAGAAAGGACGCTGTCAACAATTCCACTGATAAAAGTGGTAAATTGTGAACATGTTCACAATCAATTCTAGTATCAATGTTCATGTTTTTTATTAACTTGGAGGTCGCAAACTCAGCCCACAATCTTCAGGTGTGATGTTTTCTATACATGTTCAGTTACCATGGCAACTGATCTCACTCATCCTATGTGTGGTGTCATAAGTTGGAAACGTCATGATTGCAATGGAAGCATAATATACATTGCAATATGTCAGTGTGGTATGATGGTACTGGCCAGGCTCCTGTGCTCAAATCCTGGCTTAAAGACCCTGTACAAAGAATGCATCTATGCCAAATTTCTAGTCATGTTCCGGGGTCCGTTGCATGAAATTCACAAATCTCTATGTACATTGATTCTGATTTGTGCAACTGCTCCCTCCCTTTGAGTTCGAATTTGAGCACAGGGGTCTTGTCTGGAGATAGGATATAAAAGACAGAGGACAGAACAGAAATCCACCCACACTTAGCTTCCCTGGAGTTGGGTACACATTCTTGCAGTCTAACTGAGATATTTCTGGCAGCATACGTAGTCTAGTGATGTATACTAATTATGTACAAGGTGTACAACTGCTATATACTGGCTCATTACACAGGGTGTCTGGGAGTCTGGACAATCGCGAATTTATAACCAACTGCAAATAAAAAGTACTTCAGATAATTTAAAGCAATACGTTGTATATGTGTGCATTGTTTCAAGGTAGTTTAGGTTCCAACTGTATTGTAAAATTATAGAAAAGACGTATTAAGACCTCAGACATCCTGTGGAGAAAAACTTGTGCGACTTCCAGCCTAAAGGTTTCTATGCATTCTCAAGGCAAGGCAATTACTAGTGGCCACAGCATTGTGTAGCAAAATATTTTCACTCATCAGAGAATCTCTTGCTTTACACAAAAATGTTCATCACTCATTATGATATGTACAAAACTTTTATGAGACAATATAATTGTCACATTCTGGTGTAAAGTCACTGAGATTGTGACTTTTAACTGTAAAGTAGGCCTGTTAAAGATAAAGTGTAGTACAGTAAAACCTGTCTGAATTGAACACTGCTAAGACTGGGTTATTGGCCACTTTCGTATTCAGGTAGAACTTCATAAATTGATGATGGAGAGAAAGGGCAGTTACATTTTGAAGTGTTCACATTAGCAGGTTTTACCATACTGTACATAGACTCTTGTTATCCAAAGATGTATCACTGGAATATATTCATCATTGTAAATCTTAAAGGCGTTATAGTCCTGGGTCCATTCTCTGGTTTCCCAAATATCCAGAGAACAGAAAATAGGTGTTGACACAAGACTTCAGGTATTTTGACTGGAACGTCTCTATTTGTATTGATCTTGATGCTGTGAATGTTTCCAGTTATGCATTTTGAAGAAATGTGAGTGTTCAGTCCCTTGGAGTTACCCAGTCCTCCCCCCTTATCTACTTATACCTGGTTGAAAATACTTGCTATTTCACTATTGTACATGGAATGTACTGAAAATTAATGCGAATTAGCTTATTTTTGATTAATTTACTTCAAATCCTATTACATGTACATGTACCTTTGAAGTAGAAGTTGCCACTGGGCATACTGGGTAGCTCCATAACCGAGACAGGGTCACTGATTGAATATTAAAGCAATTCTTAAATTATTTATTGTGTAAAATAAACTTCATATTATTGCAGTTTTTCATATATAAGGCCTTCCTATGTATTCAATTAACAGATGAGCGCACATGATTATACAGTTTGGAAAATGTAGGAGAATAGAAGGCAATGGATAACAAGGAATATATTGATATGAATGTACATGTACAAAGGAAAAGTGTATATTATATATAGATACAAATATCATTGCGTAAATAAGCGGACTGTTTTTATTAAGTTTATCAGATGATTGGTTTGGTTTATCTCCCCCTCCCTAATTCTTTTTCCTATTGCACCTTTCTAGTGTTTGAATGTTGTCTATAATTATTCCTAATCAACTCCTCTATCTGGCTTTGATATACTTCAAATCTGGCAAACTTAAATTGCAAATTGATGATTTACATGCAGATGAAACAAGTGCCAAAGTTTCCCAGACTCCTACAGCAAATCAGTTATATTAAGCATAAAAACAGCAAAATATTTGACAATAAATTTTGGATTTTCTCATCTTTTTCGGAGGTTTAGCCAGGAGAATATCTGTTATTATTAGTTCAATGATGTTACTTCATAACCAGGAACCTAATTTCTGGTGGTTTAATATAATATTGTCATAGCTTGTGTCATGCAACACTCAAGCTTACCTCATTGGGGTCAACTGTATGGTGTACATAAGTGATTCTTAATGGATATATCAGGGAGTATAAAGACTACACATCTACAGCTAGATTATCGTTAAAGGGGAATTCTACTACCATATGTAGCTACTAGCCATGCCCTCTGTCATTGATTAACAGATATAACAATCGTAAAATGTTGAATGTATTCTTAGCAACAATTTATTGTTCCTAAATTGCGGTTGTACATTATGTCAAAATACATAAAGTTGCAGGCCAACTGAATACTTGTAGATTTTGTATAAAAATCTCATTTAGAGTCTAGATACATGTAACATTGGCCACTTCTCTGAATACACATATATGTGATATGTCATCCCCAGACTCAAGTGAAATCGCTAACAGTGTAAAGCAGAATATGCTCATTCTACTGAACAAAAATAATATTTATCTAACACATTTTATTTGCAAGTCCATACTTTGTGATTTAATGTAGGGAGGAAAATTTTCCCTTCACATGATCTTTGTGCAATATACTTACATGCTGATAATTGGATTTTTAATGAACACATTTTGGTTTGAGACTGGATGTATACATTTAACCTCTAACCAAATTGTTTTTATCTAAAAATGTCCAATAACAATTTCATGAAAGTCATCTGACATTTTGTTATTAGTAATAATTAGTTTAGAAGTCAGATGCATCTCACCTGGCCATATACAAAAAGCATGTCTCAGTTTACTTCTAAATTTTTGGTTGTCACATTTGAAAAAGATTGTGAATCTCAATTTGAATTCAAACGAATTAAAAACATTGCTTCCAATTAAAGTGGCCATGAATATTTCAGATTCCATTTGTTTTGTTTTTGCTTTTAAAATCAAATAAGAACCATTATCTTCTCAATTTTATCAATGAGCTATATTGAGACTTAACCTCCAGAAATTTTTGTAAGAGCTTAATGTGTGGTTTCACCCTGAAAATTTTTTATGTGGTTCCACCCCATAGAGGAATATTTAAAGTGGTTTCACCTCATAGACGACAATTTAAAGTGGTTTCAACCGTAGACGACAATTTAAAGTGGTTTCAACCGTAGACGACAATTTAAAGTGGTTTCAACCGTAGATGACAATTTAAAGTGGTTTCACCTCATATAAGACAATTTAAAGTGGTTTCACCCGTAGACGACAATGTAATGTGGTTTCACCCGTAGATGACAATCACTTGATCTGTTTATTAAACACAACATAGTAGCCATAAGTTAATACAGAAAGCAAGAAAAATCTCTTGTTATTTACTGATTTTTTCATCATTATTATTATTATAATGTACTTGTTGTTGTTATAGTCATTGACTTAACTACATCCAATATATTTTTCTCCATTTTTAACTTCATAAGTAGACTAGTGGACAGTGGTTGTGAATACTGTATGTTGAATTCTTTTTGCATTTTTTAAAATTACAAATTTTCCTCCATTTTATATGTTGTAAAACAGCAGTGGTTAATTAGAAAATGAATATAACAGTAAGATATATATATATCAATATTAATATACCTATTAAATTATCCTAGCATTTGCTGGGTTCATGGATTTAATAAGAAATGTTGTAGATTTTATACAGTTATCTTCAGAAAATATTTATTGTTTTTTTTGTTTAAATTACATCGTCCCATTGTTGCGGGAGTCTGCCTAAAGGTGGCGTAGAATTGTACATAATAAACCTAGTTGCGCCACCTATAAGCAAACTTTCACGGCAACTTTTATTAATCAATAAATTCAAAATGTAGCGTGTGGTAAACTATGGGTAGTCGTGGAATAGCTAGAAATCTCATATGGCGTGCACTAAATATAGGAATAAATACAAAGGAAAGAAAACCCTGAAAATACTGTACAGACTTCTATAAGGAATTGTAATACATGCTATGCTTTGTAAAGATTTTTCGCAAAATTGAAACTCCATTTTTCATAAGATATTTTGTCATTTATCTGACTGATAGATGTATTATAATGTTGTAATATCATTACTGACAGATATATTATAATGTTGTAATATAAAAACTGACACATGTATTATAATGTTGTAATATCATGTCTGACAGGCATATTATAATGTTGTAATATCATGTCTGACAGATGTATTATAATGTTGTAATATCATGTCTGACAGATATATTATAATGTTGTTATATCATGTCTGACAGATGTATTATAATGTTGTAATATCATGCATGTATTCTACAATAATCATCATTGTAAAACATTTCTGTGTTACAAATAAAGAAATGGAGAAAACCTGATTTTTAAGTTATGTTCATTTACTAATGTGAGGGGTTTGAAGTCAATTTTAAGATTTGCAGAATTGCCACAAAATTGTTATAAAGGTCAGGTAATAGGAAATTCTGTTTTGCCATTAGTATATGGCCAGAAGTCTGGATATAAAGTGAAAATGAAATAGTACATACTATAATTTGGCAGCTGAAAGGACAGATGTCAGTGAGCCCCTCTATTACCCCCCCCCCCCCCCCCTAAGAAATTGAGTATGACTACTTAAAATGTGATTTCTGGGTGATTTAACATTGACACTTGGGTCGTTTAAACTGGAAAAATTGCATAAAAATAGCACTTAAGTTGACTTTATATAAGAAATAAAACCAATAGGCTTAATAAACTGATATACTATGATGTCTACAAGTAAAGTTGCATCTAGATACATGGTTTAAAACAGTATCTACCAACTTTGAAAAGGACATGGTGCAATTATTGGCAAATATCCCTATGGTCAAAATGAATCATTCTTAGGTGTAACATGAAGAATAAAATGTCATATAATACTTTGGAAAATATTAAAGTGCTCGGACACACATAAGCTGAGATAGGGATCATTTCGTTCAGTAAGGTTGTATTGACTTACATGGGGCTGTGCACCATTGACTTAACATGAGGATATCAGCAGATCCCAATAGAGGCCATTGGTTTCCATTGATTATCACAGAAATACCAAAAATACACTATGACCTGAATCGATTGCAAACTTAATAATTTCACAATACGGCACAGATGGTTTATCTCATCAAATGTGCAAATATGAAGTTTGCAATCGATTCAGGTCATACTTAAAATTAAAAGATTGTACATTTTTTCATCATTTTTTTCCCTACAAAATGGCTATAGAAAATGCTCCAAAAACAACTTTTACACTTATCAAATATGATACAAGTTTGTAAAACCAAAGATTATACTATTATATTTCATTATGTAGTAACATATTTGGATAAGATGCAGGGATGCGTAGGATGTAAATGGATTTTGACAGACACAAAAATACTTCCTGGTTTGGAATCTATGCCTCTACACTTCATGATTGAATTATGACCCTTATAAGTGGCCTATACATCAATACAGTGCTGAATATAAGTCAACAAGATACTAGTGTGCATAAAAATGTAATAATTGAAGCAGAATACTCCTTTTGAAAAATCAGATGAATTATTTTTTTCCCATGGGGAGAACCCAATGGAGGGTGTATAAGGTCCTTTAATCTGTGACTTAGGTTGGGGAGATTCCACATAGACCCCATGTTACAAAATCACAAAAGGTGAAATATCTTGTGTTGGCCAGATAATATTTTCTTTTACTTGATATACTTTCATTTGTATAATTATCAGACACATAATGATTAAATGAACATCGATCCACTTAAAGTGATATATTTTAAGCGAACTCTTATTAATACTTGTATACCAACCATCTTAATTAATCCCAATCAGCCACCTAGTGGTGAAACTGGTAACTATCTACTTGTATCTGGGTAATTATCCCAATGAACGAAGTTTAATAGGGATATAGTGAAGCTGTCCATCCGACCAGAAGATTACTCATAATAGTACACTGATGCCCTTCAAAAATGGGAAAATGATTTTTTTTGGAAAAGGCTTAGTGGACCAACAAGAAGGATTGGCTCCCAGAATTTAGTGGATATTTTCCAACAATGAAAACGCAGAAATGTCAAAATAAACAGTTCAAAAGATTCGAAAAAATATCTATCATTTCTTGTGAAAACCAAAATTCACAATTCAAATGTTGAAGTGAACAAAATGGCGGCTGTTGGAATTCAAATTTTGTGGCACGACATCCCCATATTTGGGACAGAAACCCGATGTTGCACTCTGGGAGCCAATCCTCCTTGGTAGACCAATAGCCTGTTAAATGGACCCCTTCTTTCAAATAAGCTAAAACAGTAATCAGGTAATACATTCCTAATAAAAGAAATCAAATCAAATTTTCATAAAAATCCTGCCATTTTTTTTAATTTATCAGCCATCTTTTGAGTTATTTTCTAGATAAAAAAATTATTTCCTCTAATGTTGGCAGGGAAAATTAATTAGTGCCTCCTTAGATTGGTGCAAAGTTGATATTATTCAAGACTGATTTTCCAAAATGGATTGAATATCAAAGTTTGTTTTATCGAGTTGTTTTAGGTCAGTGAAGGTGACATTCAGTCTTGGATTCAGTCTTTTATTCAATTGTACTTGTTCGCATATCTGATTCTGAGGTAATTGTGCATGTTCCTTCCCCTATGCATGGTATCCCCGGGTTAGTGTTTGGCAGTTGGTGTCTGCTACAAATGGTAGGTGGTGACACTTTGCATGTTAATACCTTTTTTGTAGAGGAATGGGAATATAAGTGTAGCAAAGATTTGTGATTTAATAATCCAAGCTGAATCCCAAAGGCAATGTTCATAACTACTTAGCTCTGGGTCAGTTTAACATGAACACGACCATTCATATGATTTAGAATTTACTGTATTTTATTTTATCATTTGTAACTTTGGATATAAAATTTTAGTGAGATAGCACATTTAAAATACATATAAATATTGATGTACCAGGATCCTCAAAATTTGTGGCAATAATCAAATGCAACCCATAGACAAGGCAGCTGATTTTTAGCCTATCCTGATTATAATATACAATATTTAACAACTATGTACTGTGAAAGAGAAATTCCTGATAGAAAGGAATATTTGTTAATCACTAGCATGTTTCTCATTGAGCACTTTCACATGTGATATCCTGTGATGTTTTCCTATGATGTTTACTAAATTGAGTCTCATTTTGAAGAAAGAATATTTCCTACAGCCCATTTTCATTTTCCTCCTCAACAATGAGGCCCATTCATTTCATATTTAAAGGTTTGGGTAATATATGACCTAACAGGATAAGAAACATCAGTGAGTAACAAAACAAATAGTTCATTCTATTGTGGTCGATACTTTAGAAAATGATACAGGTGTATTTCCAAAATATATGATTAACCTCTTGAATCCAAGGCTCTAAAATCAGTCTGAAACCAGAGTATTTTTCATTTTTGTCAGCTTTTGACATTTCACTGCAAGCATACACAACAGGTAATGCTCAAATTATTGAGCATTATTAGTCAGCAGAGATCATGCTACACATTTTAAACATTTTTTGTGTAAGTTGGATGAAATTATCAAATTAGAGCAATTTTAGTGAAAATTTTGTGACAGATTATCTTGTCACTCCGGGTGGTCAAGAGGTTAAAATACATATTTGTAGGAAATCGGCCTATACTAAGCAAAATTGTCCATTTTCAGCCCAACCTCATAGCAGAATCACTCATAGCATTAGAAGGTCACCAAAGGGTGGAATTAATAAATTATGTAGTCTTTTTACTATTCTGTATATTTAGTCAGCCCATCATTTTTTTACTGCTAGAAATATATTTGTAGTCCATTAATCAAAATGTTCGTGGCAAGACCAATTGATATCATGTGCATATAATAATATGATATAAAATTGTAATTGTATAGGCCTAAATTTTAAAATATATACTCCTATACTATGTTACATCTGTATACTATGTACATTTCTGACTGTTGTATTCATTTCTGACTGATAAGCTAAGCTTGCATGTACATATGTGCGTAGTTTTTCACTGACAGTTACACCAAAAGGGCACACAGCACACTCTTACAATAGAGAGTGAGCATGGAACAAAACAAACATCTGGGACAATAATATTCATATTCTTCTGTTTAACTAAAAGATGTGGAAGACTCTTATCTGTGAGCAGCTTTGACTCCACATACCACATGAGTCAATCACTGCAAAGTAGCTCAACTTGCTCATGAAAGTTTAATCAAATAATGACAATGTGACAATGAGACGCATTATCATCGTAAAAATATAGCCTTGCATCCAGCTCGCATGTACAACAGGCTAAAAAGTAATTCCTTCTGAAGTGTAATAATCAAAGGTGGCACAGATGCAATGTACAGATGTAAGACATTGAATTATCAAAGTCGTATTTCATTACTGCCCTGTCCAAGACTGGAGTAGAGATCAGATGTGTTGTCGATTGTTCCATTGGATTTCCTCAGATCTAATCCACTTGTTTCTGATTGCAGCTCAGAGAATCGAGCATAACGATAGCGCATTGCAACAGGAAGAAATATTAAGAAGTTCACAACTCCCAACCCTGACATTAAGAAGAGGAAGTTTTCTATATTCCCTGTGTTCAGCTCATCAGGATACCAGGCTGAAAGAAATGAAACAGCATGAAACAATATTCCAAAATTACACGTGTCAATAACATGAATAATATTAGTTCAACAAACAGTGCTGTCTGACAGCATACAGCAGTATTGATATATGGATTTCATCAACAGTGCTGTAAGAATAGCTAAATGATGCACTCATCAAAACTTTATAAACTTTTCAAAAGTATCAATCTTTTATTAAGCTTACACACTTTGAATAATGGCTTAAGTTTATTGAATATGACACTTACAACCATTAGATGCTGCATTAACTATATTAACAAGTAAAGTGCCAACATAGCTGCCCAGTCCTGTAGTGGCCAAGTTTACCCCCATTACTACACCCTGTAGTGACACTGGAGCCTGTGAGTAGGCAAATTCATATGCTGAAATAAAATCATAGAACACATGAAACTATAATCTACATGGAGTACAATAAGGTCATACTTCAGAGAGATCAAAAAATTAATGAAAATGGGTGGATGGAGGGATAGATAGAGGGCTTCACTATATCCCTACTTTTGTTGGGACAACTAAGGGAAAAATAATGTTGGAAAAAGGTACAAGCATGTTATATTAGATGAGCTGTGATGAGCATAAACACACCTGATATGGCAGCGAACACCTCACTAGTGCCAACTAAAACAAACTGGGGCACCATTAAAGGTACAATAATCAATGTGAAAGCTGGTTATACATGTTATATTAGAAGATGAGCTGTGATGAGCATAAACACACCTGATATGGCAGCGAACACTTCACTAGTGCCAACCAAAACAAACTGGGGCACCATTAAAGGTACAATAATCAATGTGAAAGCTGGTTATACATGTTATATTAGAAGATGAACTGTGATGAGCATAAACACACCTGATATGGCAGCGAACACCTCACTAGTGCCAAGTAGAACAAACTGGGGCACCATTAAAGGTACAATAATCAATGTGAAAGCTGGTTATATTAGAAGATACACTGTGATGAGCATTAACACACCTGATATGGCAGCGAACACCTCACTAGTGCCAAGTAGAACAAACTGGGGCACCATTAAAGGTACAATAATCAATGTGAAAGCTGGTTATATTAGAAGATGAACTGTGATGAGCATAAACACACCTGATATGGCAGCGAACACCTCACTAATGCCAAGTAGAACAAACTGGGGCACCATTAAAGGTACAATAATCAATGTGAAAGCTGGTTATACATGTTATATTAGAAGATGAATTGTGATGAGCATTAACACACCTGATATGGCAGCGAACACCTCACTAGTGCCAACTAGAACAAACTGGGGCACCATTAAAGGTACAATAATCAATGTGAAAGCTGGTTATACATGTTATATTACAAGATGAACTATGATGAGCATTAACACACCTGATATGGCAGCAAACACCTCACTAGTGCCAACTAGAACAAACTGGGGCACCATTAAAGGTACAATAATCAATGTGAAAGCTGGTTATACATGTTATATTACAAGATGAACTATGATGAGCATTAACACACCTGATATGGCAGCGAACACCTCACTAGTGCCAACTAGAACAAACTGGGGCACCTGCAGCATGATGTTCAAATTAGAAGCATTATATATTTTCCCTCCGACATTTTGTTCAATTCCACCAGAATTAGCAAGCTCATCTTTACGTGCAATTTCCAAGAATCCTGCCACAAATACTGAGCATGGTGCCAGTAGGAGGCCAATTCCTACAAGAAAATGATTAAAAATTTCATGCAGATAGGTAATTTCTCAACATATAAATGGGAGCTACAAATCAAGCTTATTTGACTATTCATATAACAAATACAGTATATAATAACTACATGTATAATAACTATATAAAATAATTTACAACTGACAAAATAAAGTAAAAACATTTAAATTGTCAAGTTTTCTTGAAATTGCTTTTAAACATTTCTTAAACTGTAAATATGGCATCTTTTACCATGTTATACTTGATGTTAGTGCCTTCTTGAAATACCAAGAATTTCACGACTTTTGGATTTGACATTTGTACTGACCTATTCTTTGTAACAATGTTATTTTTCTCCCACATCTTTCTAGGAGAGGATAGAAGAAGCGATCCACAATGGGCACTAGTATAATGATAATGATAGTGTTAAACAAGGAAAGAGAAGCTGCCGGGAAAATAAATGAGCCAAGCCTGAGATCCATTCTTTCACCCTGTAGTAAGAATGTTGTCTGCATCTAAAATCAAAATTTTTTAGAATAGGTAAAAATGATTGAACCAGTACTTCAAGGTTATGTGCCACTATAATATATGTGTAAAATTGCCCATATTATGACACCTCAGGATAAAGAATAATTTAGATGCAAGTAGGTAGTTACCAGTTTCACCACCAGGTGGTTAATACAGGTCAGATAACATGGCAGGATATTAGAAAGTTCCCCTTAAACATGAATATTCATTAGTTTTAGTTGTTCAATTCCCATATTACCCTTTCATATGTAGGTGATAGTTATACAAATATAAATATGTCCAGCAAAAGAAAATATTGTCTGTCCAATACAATTAGAGATATTTTGCTTTTTGTGATTTTGTAACATGAGGCTATGGTGAACCTCCCTGACCTAAAAGTCACATTTTGAATTTACAATGTTGCCCTTTGAAATGAAGTTATTGGGATACTAGGGGACTATATCTGACTAATCTGATATAGCAAGTAGGGGTGAGACGACAACCCGATGAGTCGAGGACTCGCGGGTTTGGGGCTTCGAGTCGAGTCGAATCGAGTCGAAGTTGATGAATCGAATCATTTTCGAGTTGAGAAAAAATTCGAAAAAATAAAAAAATTCAGAAAAATACTGTCAATATGCATGTTTTTACTCGATATTGCGTTGAATATATAAGTTTCAATGACTTGGATATGCTTGTATTAAATTATTATATTGTATGTACACATAAATGAAAGAATATATGTAATAAAATTAGAATAAACTTACGACGAATTGTGTTTGTTTATATTTCCGGCTTTCCACCATTGACGCATTAAAAATACGAACGGTCAAAAGCGATGTTGTTCGCACTTCGCGCGACTCGAAACGGATTCGAAACTCGAATCGTCATTTTCTGACTCGAATCGGATTCGACTCGAATCGGATTTTTTCGACTCGTCTCACCCCTAATAGCAAGGCTAGTACCTAAGTTTATCTCTTATTGAAAGAGTGCAGATGAAGCTTTGAATGATGCAAAATCAAAGAGTTAAACTCTTCCTTACCTGATTATAAATTGTCCAGTATAGAATAAGTGTTAGGAAAACAGGAATCATTCTTCCTAAGCTCTTAACACCTTCTATTTCTATGGCGCTGTATCTGCCCCCATTTGACTCCAAGGCGTAGTCAAGGAATGAATCATGCTGCATTATACTGTGCTTCTTTCGCTTCAGAGCTGCCCAGATAATCTCTATAACCCTTGCCAAGGCGCTACCTGGATTTATAATTGATTCAACATTATTTTCTCTAAAAATTTAGTTTAAACTTAATAAAAGTAATTGTGTTCTTGCCTTTTCATGATTTGTACAGGATTTAATAAAACTTTTACAAGTATGTGTATTTTTTCCTTTTTGGTAGTTCATTGCATGGGAAAATCAAGACACAACTTAAACAGCAAAAATCAATGAAGAACTACCTTCATGAGGGAGGTGGTGATACATGTTGCGTGGAATCATGAAAGAGACCATGGAGAGAATCATCAATGGTACGGCAATGGCTTGACCGAGAACCAAAGAGATGTTTTGCGAAATATACAAATTCACAAATACTATTGGCCCACATATATTTATTGTCCAGTAAAACCTACAAATATATACAGTTTATTTTGTGTCTAGTTTTGGATATCAGGTATATCTTCAGAGAGATAAATCATTTCTACCCAGGAACACAAGAGGACTCAGAGGGTATATAACTTATCACCTAGTGGATATACCTAATATCACAACTAATCAAAACATAATTGTTTTATCTCATTCTGAGTAAGCTTTGAGGTGGGTACAAATTCCAAACATTTTATATTCTGTCTTGCATGTAATCATTTGGAATGGGTCAATAAAATATATCATATGATATACTATTATATGTTATTATTGCCCCCAAACCTTGCTCAGTATGAGATAATAATTGCTAAATTGCTTACCTTCAGGAGCTGTATGTGTATACTTGTTCCGTGGCACCAAGACTATGATGGTGGCCAGAACCATGGATAAAGCAGGGATAAGATAGCCAATGTCAAAAGCAATATTCTGCTGAATGTAGGCAACGGCAGCGTATGCAATGGCGGAACCCACATTGATGAACCAGTAAAACCTAGCAGAAAACAGGGTCCACAGAGTAAGAGAAAAACGAGTATAACATAGCAGCATAACAACTATTTGGGCAAATTATAATGACATGCGAAAAGGTTTTCCATGATTGATCAATTGATTACAAAGCCAGCATTAGTCAATTAAATATCATATTCATCATTGCAGCCTATCTCTAAAAATTTAACTTTTGGGAAAGCACTTGTTTCAGAACTTATTGGCCTAATTCATTGAAGCTAAAAGCATTAGTAAGTTGCTTAATAGACTATTTGGGATTTGCTATATATATATATGGATTAATAGATGGAAGCACATGGGTTGATAGGGCCAGAATACTATTCATAATATAGAGCCAACTGGCAAAAAGTCGCATAATTTCCTGATTTATCAAGTTTGGATTAATGTAAAACTCTATGGGCATGTAACTACGTACAGTGTATATGATCTTGTGAACATGTGGTTTGTGATTTAACATTAAAATTGTGATCCAAAAGAATAAACTTTTTAACAAGATTAATGAGATTTTGGATTTAGCCAGACCTTTTTCAGAAAACTTGAAAATTCTTGGAATAAACTTAAATAACAGTGCAAATAGGATTTTATTTATTTAGTCATGAGTATGTATTTTGATTATTGTGATCGAGACACAAACAGACGCAACTTCTGGTCAATTGTGAATTGTGGTTGGCTTATAAAGATAGAATAAGGTGAATTTTGCAGTGAGGATTATTTTCATTGACCAGCTAGATCTCTCAACGACCTATTTTTGGAGTGATTTCAGTCATAATGATGAGCAGAATTTATCATTAACCACCTGCTGGACATCCTTCTACTTAATTTGGTGCTACTTATTTTGGCGGATTTGGTCTTTTGATCATTTGGTGGTTACTTAATTTGGCAGACTTGCAATATTAAAATGTAATTAATAACATTGTACTAATGGTACCAATTTACATGGTACTAAAATCAACGGGAATTTGGTGGTGGCTTAATTTGACGTAATTTAATAATTTGGTAGATCCGCCAAATCAAAACGGCCACCAAATTAAGTAGAAGTACACTACAGTACATACCAGTTAAAGAAAGACTGTACTGCTTGTGGACCCATGTCTTCCAACTGCTGCACACCAAATGGGCTAACATTGGCCTTGATGCCTCCAGTACCAATTGCTATGAGGATTAGCCCTATTATATAGTACCCCCTCTTGGCAGACTGAAATGGAAATACATGACCCTAGCATTAAGCCCATACATTGGCACTGATGTCCCCAGTACATCAGTAGGTAACTGGACAACTCGGACCCAGGACAATTCGGACCCTGGACAACTCGGACCCAAGACATCTCGGACCCAAGACAACTCGGACCACTTTTTAAAATTATGATTTTTATCATAATGAGTGGTTTTATCTTTTCATTTATGAAAATTAATACATATATTATATATTGTGAATTCATATTTTGTATTGATATGATAAAAAATATTTTAATTTGACTTATTTGATGAAAATTAAGTAGAAGATATTGAAACTAGAAACCCAAGACAACTCGGACCACTTTCTGAAATTATACTTTTGGTTGTCGTAATTGGGGATTATTTCTTTAATGTTTGGCAGGACATATTGTGAGTTTATATATTGTATTTATTTGATGAAGATCTTTCAATTGGTAACCTTTCAATTAACTTATTTGATGAAAGTTATGAAGTAAGACCAGTAAGAGAATATTGAAGCTGAAGACCAAAGACAACTCGGGCCACTTTTTGAAATTAAAGTTAATTCAATTTAAAACAAATTCATCGAATTAACACAATATATCAATTCACAATATATAATTTATGTCATAAAAAAACATTAAACAAAAAAAATTAGAACCCCATACAATGATAAAAACCATCATTTCAAAAAGTGGTCCAAGTTTTCTTGGGTCTTTAGCTTCAATAATTTCTTACTTCTTAACTCTCATCAAAACGTTAATTTAAAACAATTTCATCAAATTAACATAACATATGAATTCACAATATATAATATATGTCAAAATAAACCTAAATTAATCACAAATGTTAAATTGATTTACTTTGTTGAACTTTCCTTGTATGATATTAAATGTTATAATATATGAACTTGAAATAAAAATGATAAATAAAAAAAACTACCTGATGTAACATTAATCACATGACCTGATGTAACATTAATCACATGACCTGATTTACATTAACCACACATCCTGATGCTACATTAACCACACATCCTGATGTAACATTAATCACAGGACCTGATGTTATATTAATCACACACCCTGGGGTTATATTAATCACACATCCTGATGTAACGTTAATCACAGGGCTTGATGTTACATTAATCACACATCCTGATTAACTTTGTTGAACTTTCATTATATGGTATTAAATGTTATAATATATGAACTTGAAATAAAAATGATTAATAAAAAAACCACCTGATGTAACATTAATCACATAACCTGATGTTATATTAATCACACATCCTGATGTAACATTAATCACACTACCTGATGTAACATTAATCACACAACCCGATGTAACATTAACCACACATCCTGATGTAACATTAATCACACATCCTGATGTAACATTAATCACAGGGCTTGATGTAACATTAATCACACATCCTGATGTAACATTAATCACAGGGCTTGATGTTATATTAATCACACATCCTGATGTATCATTAATCACACAACCTGATGTTACATTATTTACACACCCTTATGTAACATTAATCACACACCCTTATGTAACATTAATCACACACCCTTATGTAACATTAATCACACATCCTGGTGTAACATTAATCACACATCCTGATGTTACATTAATCACAAATCCTGATGTAACGTTAATCACACAACCTCTTGTAACATTAATCACAAGACCTGATGTTAAAATAATCACACATCCTGAGGTTACATTAATCACACTACCTGATCTAGACCATAGTTTAATCCATTGTCATCTCTACCAAAAGTACCCTGCCAGTCAAATGCTACAAGTGGCAGCATTAAGGTTCCTTGAATATAAATTAATAATTCATGCATAAATACCATGCTAAACAGAAATGTTAAAGCAAGGAAAGTATAAAAATAACTTATTTTTGATCAAGAAATATCATGCAAAATTAAAAGCTATGTTCATGCGATAGCTGTTGCTGTTTCAATAATATTTACAATGATTCCAAGAATCATTGTAAAATAATATAAAATAATAATTGCAAAATGTCGCCACCTGCCATTTGTTACAGAGACCCCCTCTGATATTTGTTAAAAGTAAACCCCCTTGGCAAAAGCTGGCTACAGGCCTGACTTGTGCTGGTGACATACGTAATAATACAAAATATGTCAATCATGCATTAGTGCTTTAATTAAGTTACATGCAGATGTTTTTAAAAAGTGGCTTAGCCTTCAAAATAAGTGCAGTATGTAAAAACATCATTAATAAGAGTTTACAGAAAAATGATAACAAAATGAGAAGGGAGACATGCAGGATACCTATACAGCTATCTTAAACATGTTTTTTATATAAAACATCTATTAATGGGAAGATGCACAGGACCTACCCACAATATATATAAGACCACTGCCCCATATAGTGTTAAACCTTCCAGCCACAGAATCAGCAATATACCCTCCAAACAATGGAATGAAATATACAGTGCCTGAAATCAAAAAGGAAAAAATATGATGTTTATTCATTAAGTAAACATTTAAATATTGAAAACAAGAAATTCAAGCACAAGCCTCAAAAGCTGGGATAAAATTATTTACAATGTTATTTTTGTTGATGAACAGTGAACTTGGTGTGGTTGAACTGTCAAAACCAAATGTCCATGTCAAAGTGATTTAATTCAATGAAAACCAAAAATATTGATATTGACATTTACCGTCCCATTTTCAAATGTAGAAAAAGAACAATCTAACAATATTTTCACAAGGAGTTTGCATTTGATTAATAAGTTAACACAGCATTATCATGTTTTGATTGTCCAGATTGTGGTAGTGACATTCATTACTTTTCAATTATACATGCTGGCTCTGGGAATCCTCATGCTGGCTCCACGGTGTTATAGCATGACAGATACGCCACCTCTGAAAACGAGGTTAGTCGTATACGATCACTGATTTATCCAATAAAATGGCCACGATGAAACAGAAAGCTAAGGTAGGTGCATTATGTTCTACTACTGCGTATCAATAAAAGCATGAAAGATTTATGTAAGCGTCGCATTCGGTGATGCATTCAGTAATGTTTATTTTGAACGTAGTCTTTGCAAATCGACGCCCATGGATAACATGAAATAAGCGAAAAACTGTCGAGTTTGAAATTCAAAACTTCATAAAATTTAGTAATTTGTTTCTTTTCTTCGTTAGGACATGCTCTACATTGCGCAACAACCTTGGTGTATATAAATGTAACCTACATACGATCATACAAAGCCAATTAAGCATTGTAAACCACTTAATATGTTCTACTCAAGCCATAATAATGTATTTTGAATTTGCGGATACGCCAAAAATTGATAGACAGTTACGCGAACCTCGTTCATATATGTAAAACCGAATCATTTCATATCGCTTGTGATCCAAAATTGAAATGTTTTTCAACCGGATTTGAGTTTTGTAAGCTATAATAGATGAAATCGTATTATTACCACCTTGCAGGGCCTGTTCTAGGGGTTTTAGTACTACTAGTAGTTGAGAAGGCATTTAAATTGCTATATTGACGTGAGCAATATTGTGTCGGGCGTTAATGACTTTAGTCGGGCAATAATGATATTATTCGCCCGGCTATGTTTCCCGGGAAAAGTGATATCGTTCAGTGCGTAAGCTTTTCTATTTCAAATTTGCTATTTCAGCCCTGGGCATTAACGGTGGTAATAATGGTAATAACGTCATTTCTGCGGGCAAAAAAGTGAAATATTGGACCTTGGGCCTGCGGCCCTTGGTCCAATATTTCATATTGCCCGCAGAAATGACGTTATTGTACTATTATGAAGATGGTGACATAAACAGCTGAATATGATTTGTAATAATGGTAATATATGTCTAATGTCACTTATGACATCATCAATTAATTTGGAGTTGTTTTCTTCCGTCGCCTGTTCGTTGTTACTAATTTCTTCCTTTGCCTCTTCATTACAATCATTTTCACTTTCATTGGCTTTCGCTATTTTTTCCTTGCCCTATAGAGGCTCAAGCAAGAGCGTCTCTTGCGAGTCCTGAAAACAAATATAGGCAGTTCACACATAGAGAGCTATCCATCTAGGGACCTTGACTTGACAGGAACTTGCATGTAACCGTCCGCTAACATCTAATGTAAAACTAATACAATGCGTTGCTGTCCATAAAAAAGCATGCAATACATACGTATCTGTCTAACGACGTTGCGATTAAAACCTTATTATCTACAATATTTAACACATTTCTGTTCTGCATTTGTCATTTTATGGCTTGTTTATGCACAGTTTACGTACAGTTAGTATTTTGAGTGGCTCTGAGGCACATATACTGAGAAAACACGAAAAGGACTAAAAATTATGAACTTCGAAATCTCAGCTGGGTAGGTTTACAGCTTATATTCTGCTTCTTGTAGACCACACGACAGATTTAACTCAATCTTTAAAACAATTCACATATGCATCACCGAATGGAACTAGTTGAAAAGGAAAGCTTATCTGTGAATCTTGCCTACAGGCGAAAAAGAGGACATGCTGTCTTTCCCGTCCGCCATTTTTTGTTATCGTTACCGCAAAATTTGGCCAATTGCCTTGTCGTATCTGTCATGCTATAACACCGTGGGCTCTGGGAATCCTCATGCTGGCTTTTGCATGGCAGTGGATGTGTTTCCTTGCAAATAATCACTAGATGACTTCTATTTCTCAATAAAACTATCTAAAATGTTTTGCTTTATATGAAAATATTGAAGTGGGACTCAATCAATTATTGTTCTGTAAAGCATTAGTTCGATTGTATGCTATAGCCCAAAATCTCAATCATAAGCTGCATACAAGAAACTCATGCATTAAAGGAGATAAAGATCTAGTCTTCTGCTTAATCCTTAAGTAAATGACTCACCTGTGAATATTAAATTGATTGTAACGGCATCTACACTGCTATATCCCAAAACATTAGTGGCAAACAGCACCATGTTCGCCACTATGCTGTAATAAGTTAGTCTTTCACAAAGTTCACATAATAATATTGCAGCAACGGTTAATTTGGTTCTAGGGTTGGATCTTTCAGCTTGATCTTTACCTCCACTGGATCCAAGCAATGCAGTCTTTTCTGTGGCATAATCCTGATTATCCATATTGTCTCTGTGTTTATACATTGTATATTTGTAAATAAAGTGATCATGAGATCTTCATGTGCTTTCAATGCTAAAGTGTGCTTTATGACCATGAGCTTTCAATGCCCATGACTCAGCTAAACTTTTTGAAGTTTTGTGTATGAATTGTTTTTGATATTGTTAGCTTAACAGATATTTTTAAAATGACTTTGAATCGATGCACATGTATCTGAATATTGTTGCAAGATCGATATATACAGCATGCCGTAACTCATCAATAATCTGAAAATAAAATAATATAAGAGAAAATTGAAATCGTGTACTCATATTTATAATGAAATAGAAATACTATTCTACAACATTGTAGAATATAGTAGAAACTGCTAAGTGGAACACGTTTGTAGTGGAACACCTTGCAAATAGAACACTTTCTGTGGTCCCAAGGGGGTTCCACTTACAGAGGTTTCACCTTTACTAATATCAATAACAAAATGTTGTCAATATTTTACTTCCTCGTCATTGGGCTAGGCTTAGAATAAATTAAGGCTTCCTTATTAAATAATATAATATAAACAAGAACACAAATGTGTACAAAATGTCCCCACCAATGGGTGATCCCATGAAATGGTTATCCTGAAAATGAGTAGACAAGACTTTACCAACACAATTTTAATTGATCCGTCACACAGTTAACTAGAAAACATGTAAACAAGACTTTACAGACAAGATTTTAGGATGGAAAATCCAAAATGGCTGCCTTGACATTTACCCAGAATGTCAAAAAACTAATCTGTTCCTAGATTTTCATACTAAGAATTATCCCTGAAAATATGACATTGATCTACCAAATGGTTCACCTGAAAACGCGTAGACAAGACTTTACAGACAAGATTTTAGGACAGAAAATCCAAAATGGCTGCCATGACATTTACACAGAATGCCAAAAAACTAATCAGATGTAGATTTTCACACTAAGAATCATCCCTGAAAATTTGGAATTGATCTACCAAACGGTTCACCTAAAAACGCGTAGACAAGACTTTACAGGCAAGATTTTAAGACGGAAAATCCAAAATGGCTGCCTTGACATTTATCCAGAATGCCAAAAAACTAAGCAGATCTAGATTTTCATACTAAGAATCATCCCTAAAAATTTGAAATTGATCTACAGAACGGTTCACCTGGAAATGCATAGACAAGACTTTACAGACAAGATTTAAGGACAGAAAATCCAAAATGGCTGCCTTGACATTTGCCCAGAATGCCAAAAAACTAATCAGTTCTACATTTTCATACTAATCATCTCTGAAAATTTGAAATTGATCTACCAAACGGTTCACCTAAAAACGCGTAGACAAGACTTTACAGACAAGATTTTAGGACGGAAAATCCAAAATGGCTGCCTTGACATTTACCCAGAATGCCAAAAAACAAATCAGATCTAGATTTTTATACTAAGAATCATCCCTGAAAATTTGAAATTGATCCACCAAACGGTTCACCTGGAAACACGTAGACAAGACTTCACAGACAAGATTTTAGGACGGAAAAATCCAAAATGGCCGACAATAAAAAAGTGATTATGTGTTTTTGCTGATTTCTTCTTACAAAATTATCACATATTACTACTGTTAACAATAACAAAGGCTTTAACAACAAAGTAGATCTGAAATTATTTATAAAGCTACTAAATAGTTAAAGTATGAAAACTCAAAAACACCATTCAATATGATACAAAGTATTATCGTGCGCTAACTTTTCTTAAGGCATTCAAAATGGCTGACATGACTGAGCTAACAGGTCCAAAACCTAATCAGATCTAGAATGAAGTGATCAGCTGAACAAGATGTTAAAGTTTTAAAAGCAACTGTGAAGCCGTTTTTCTTAAAGTTTGCAGACAAGGATTTTAGCATTTGACTTCAAAATGGCCGACAGGAAGTAGGTATTGAGTTAAAATTTTTTCATCCACATCTGTATGCACTCATAAGTTATCCCTGAAAATTTGAAGGTGATATCTGTAGTGGTTTTGGAGAAAACTCCCGGACGTACGGACAGACGGACGGACGGACGGACGGACGGACGTACGGACGGACAGACAGACGGACGCGCCTAGGCCGACAATATGGCCCCACACTATGTGGTGGGGACATAATAAAAATGGAAAGAGATTGACATTTCACACTTTAACATAATGTCTTGCACTGATTAATCATTTTCAATGATTTTGTATAAGGAACGTTTTGAAAGGTGGTCACTTTTTTTGAAATTTTCCAATTTAGTGACGCATCTTCTGAATTATTCTCACATGCTATCAACATGTATTTCAAGACTTATGCCTGGCATAACCTCCACCATGTTATTAAATGATTTCAAGTTGCACAAGGATCTAACCAAACCCGTCTGGCCCAGTTATCTACTCCCGACCTCGTAGAGAGTAGATAACTGGGCCAGACGGGTTTGGTTACACAAGGATCCTGCCATGTCCACGGTATTGTTATCGTGAAAGCCTAGGCTGGTATAACCGTGACAATGCTATATTATATTGCAAGGCCTGTCATGACCGTGGTAATGTTAAAGCCTGATATGGAGACCCTATCTGTTGCAAGACTAACGCCTGGCGTAACCGTCACCATGTTATTCAGTGTTTTTTAAGTAGCGCAAGGATCCTGCCATGACCGTGGTAGTGTTATCGTGAAAGCCTGGTATAACCGCGACAATGCTGTATTATATTGCAATGCCTGCCATGACCGTGACAATGTAATATAGTTCTGCAAGGCTCGGTATGACCGTAACAATGTAATATAGTACTGCAAAGCCTGGCATGACCGTGACAATGTAATATAGGTCTGCAAGGCTTGGTATGACCGTAACAATGTAATATAGTACTGCAAAGTCTGGCATGACCGTGACAATGTAATATAGTATTGCAAGTTCAGGTATGAGAGTGGTTATGTAGAAATTTACGATTAGGACTGCTACATGTATAACCGTGAGAATGTGTATTGCAAAGCCTGGCATGACCATGGCAATGTAATATAGTATTGCAAGGCTTGGTATGACCGCCATGGCAATGTGATATAGTATTCCAAGTTCGGGTATGAGAGTGGTGATGTAGAAATTTATGATTGCTATAATTGACCATGACAATGTGTATTTGAAAACCTGGCACGACCATGACAATGTATTATGGGATCGCAAAGCCTGGTATGACCGTGACAATGTAATATAGTATTGCAAGGACAGGTATGAGGGTGGTTATGTAGAGATTTAGGCTTAGTTCTACTATGACCGTTATAATGTATTGTAATGACTAGTAAATATGTATGACATTAATGCCAGGAATATCCTTAACAATTTTAAGTGATCCTCATTACAATTAAACAGTTTAATACTATGATCATGGTGTTTAACTACCTTAATCATGTCAAAATCAAAATTACTACTATACATTAATATTCACATTCGCTTATAAACCACAATAAAGGCTACGGTCGCGCCAGGCTTCCACGATAACACTTCCAGGGTAATGACAGGCCTTGCAATAGAATACAGCATTGTCACGGTTATACCAGCCTGTCACGGTTATACCAGGCTTACACGATAACACTACCACGGTCATGGCAGGATCCTTGCGCTACTTAAAAAACACTGATTAACATGGCGACGGTTGTGGCAGGCGTAAGTCTTGCAATAGATAGCATGTGCTGATATGACTGTGACAATGCTATATTATATTGTAAGACATGTCATGACCGTGGTAATGTTAAAGCCTTAAATGACTGTGGCAATGGTTGTAAGGCTACGTTTTATTTAACGCCGTCCTTACATTAGATGGACCCCAAAAAATAATGTTGGACGGAAAAATAAAAAACTCCAGAGTCCCTTGGACGCACTTTATTTTTACAGCAATTTCCAAAAACCTTACCTCTTAGAACACTCAAACAGTAGTACAAATGAAAGAATATAAATTGGCCTACCTTGTGAAGACAAAATCTAAGTATAATAGGCAGATAATCAGCAGTGTTTCAGAGAAACACTGAGATAATTATCTTACTGTAATTCGGCCACCATTTTGATTGACCTCTAAAACCAAAACATCATTGCTTTGAGATTAATGGGTCAGTAGCAAAAAACCTTTATCACTGTCCTGCCATCTTTCAATGGATACTATTATTAACAATTAGCCTACACATAAACTTGACAACAAACTGTTTAATTAATACAATTGATCTTTTTGGCATTATCTTACATCATAGTGAGAAAGCACAAAGGGCAACATTTGAAAACAAATAAAATATTACAAGTCAAAAATACATATCAAACTATTGAATGTTGATCTTTATATTTCATTGAGATTGATAATGTGTCAGAAAGGAATATTGAGTTTATTAATTTACATCAGAGTGAGGAGGAACAAGGGGCAACATTGAAGTCCAACAACATTAGACCTAGCCCGGGCCTCGTTTCTTATCTGACATGTGTTATGGCCCGGCTAGGTCTAACCTCCATGACCATTTTGCCTTTGATGCGTTAATTTAATCGTTCAGCAGGTTTCGACAAGCGGAACAAATTAAACCCTGAAAACATGGCAATATTACACAAAGAATGTGATTCAAACATGCATACATACCTTATAAACACATACACCCCGTCCCGTATCCCCCTTAGACCCTATTGATGCATAATTACGAAAATATTGGAGACAGGTTTGGAAATGACGAAAATGTCGGTCAGTTTCGGTAACATCGAAATTGCAAATCGTTTCAGGAATTAACCGTCATCACGGCACTGCATTAACGAACAGTGGGTTTGCAATTAATAACTGTTTTGCGTGTATACACGCGCTATATAAATTAATCAAAGATACCTGTTATCCTCAAAATTGATCTTTTTATCCCGAGTAATCGCGATAATAATTATCAATCTATTTGACAACAATTTCGTTTCGCTGGTAGTTTAATTTTACGATCCGGGACACTCAGACGAACAGACACAATGACGGACATGCGGAATGTCACTTTAGAGATTGGTAAGTGTAGCCTCATTTTACTCGTATAAATGAACATTTAACACAAAAATATTGTGTTAAATCGCTTGATGTTATGTGTTTTTATATTATTGTCAAGTATCAGTTGCACGTTATCGCGGAAAAATGGTTTCGATGGATTCAGAACTTGCATCAAAGGAAAGAATAGTAAGGAGGTTAAACTCAATAACGGCCCCAAAAAATTCCTAATAATAAAGAACGCCGTTATTGAGTTTAACGACGTTGAACTAGGTCTAATGTTGTTGGACTAATGCCATCTTTGAACTCTGGTGTTATCCCAATCTCATGAATGCCTACTACAAAACGATCTTGCCAACATCTATAATCTAAACGCCTAAAAACAAACTCCCATGAATTGTCTCGGAATATAATATGTTGAAGACTGGCATTGCACGGTAGCATGGCTGAAAATGGAAAAAACAAGTAGATCTAACTTACAAATCTCCATACAAAGTATATGTGCTCTTCAAATTGGAGATATCAAATGAAAACAAGGTACTCCTACTTTCATAATATTATGTTCCAGGATCACATATGACCCTTATTTGTTAAAAATAAAGCTAGATAGGTCATGTGATACTTACAAATACATTCTGATAAAATCGAACCACTCAAACCATGGCTGTAACGCATCGATAAATTGGAATGTGTATTAAAGATCACGTGACTTTTATCATGTGACTTACAAGTTCATGTTTAGAAAACTCATTTTACCTATATATATGATGTTTTGATGAAAGGCAAGTATCAGAGAGTATTCAAATTCTATATTTGCATTACTTTATTGCATATTCTTCCTTAATATATGTTTAAATAAGTTTTTTTAATCAAAATTCAAATTTCGCGCAAAATGACGTCACTCGTCCTGCGAGGAAATAACAAAATGGCAACTTGCATCCCAAAAAATATTTCCTCACAATTCTTGGAATAATTACCATTTATGAAGGTTTTTTCAACTTTTGATCATTGTTTGCCGTGTCATATTTAATGGTAAGTAATCTCACATTAATGTATTTCACTAAAATATCTTTGTAGAAGAGCAAACGAAGAGATTTTCATAATTTTTCTTTGATTTTTTCAGATAATTTATGTTCAATTCTGATTCATTTGCTTTTCTATCTTCAAATTCAATCCATTTGATATTTATGTATTGCACGCATGGTTTTGTTTCTTTAATCATCCTTTTGAGCTTTGTTCAACCAATTAGTTCACCAACTGTGTTGCATTTTATAGGGCCATAGCTTTACATGTACATGTACCTAATTTGCAAGAAACTACCAATGGTAGCCTAACCATTATCAATCCAGGTGTTAAAGAAGACACCTCACAGGTGCTCCCTGTGTAATAAGACTGTATGGTCGTGGCCATCCTGCAAACAATTTATACTTTGTTTGCAGGACAGCCACACTCACCCAGGGAGCACCTGTGAGACACCTACTGTACAGTGCTGATACAAATTAATTGATTAGAGTCCATTTCACTGCTTCATTGCGTCAGTAGAACGGCAAAAATAAGAAATTGGGAGACCATTGTGCAATAATATATGGAAAAGTATATTCATAATGTACATGAATGACATTTGTATATTTCAGATTTTTTAGTTTTTTGTGCAATAAGCAGTGTGCCGTCTTGTAATTTGAAGAATTTCAGCCATGCTAATCTTATTGAAAATAACATGGCAGAGAAGCATCCAAATATAAGAGGCCACACACTTTATAAGCCAAACTAGAAGCAATCCAAGATATACAAATGTCATTCATGTACAATAGGAATATATTTTTCCATATATTATTGCAAAATGATATTTTGATTTCTTATTTTTTAGCTTTTACTGACGCAGTTAAACAGTGAAATGGACTCTAGTCGTATATTTGGCATATTTTCTTTAATTTTAACATTTAATGTCCCAAACTCCCGCAAACTGCAGAAAAGTATACACCGTAAATCATATTTACCAAAATGAGTGTCTCCAAGGCTTCATACCAGTGTATGCATAATGCATTTGTCACGAGTTTGAGCTGAAATTTCGCTAAAATGAAGTAATGGTAATCTCCAACGGGTTTGTTTATTATGGTTAGCTTTTAATGATAAGTGCTCAGAAGCAAATAATTCATGTGTGCAAAATAATCAAATAATCTGATTGGTTTAAACATTAATGCGCATGATATGTGCAATGTTTTTTCTGGTGATTTCGTTTCGCTTCATGGAGTTTGTGTTTCAGTGTAACGGTAAAGTTGAGTTGAAGTCGACTTCTCCCAATTGTCGAAAGAAAATTAAAAAAATAAAACATGGTGTTTGGCTCGACGATAGATTTCAAAGTCATCATCAAATTGTTCAAACAACATTGTCCAGTAAATTTAAAGTTGAAAGGGAAATAATTTTAAGTGTTTTGTTTTTACTTTTTACCTTTTTATGACATAATCGTTTGCCGGCAAAATTCTATCATTTATAACAGCCTCGTTTTGGGTTATGCTGTGGCAAGTTAATAAGACTCTTAGACTACCTACTAAGTGTAGTATTACAGGGTTAGTGATATGTATTGCTCTGTTTTAAGCTGCTTAGATTGAGAGAAATTAGAAAACAAAAAGTAAGAATGTAAGAAAATGTAAGTTTGAATTGTTTCTTTCATATTAATTTTCCTGGGGATTTGACTTACAACTTTCAATTTTGAAGTCGGCTTTCAGTGAAATACAAGTTGCTGTCGATTTCTCATCTAGTTGTTCTACCATTAGTTGAAAAGATCGCTGAAATGATCAAACATGAGATACAGATCAGTCACTGAATCAGAACGATGAATACATGGATAGGTCTTCGTGCATTTTTATCGTGAATCTCATGATTTAATTTATATAATAACTGCTTACATTCAAATGTACATTGAATTGCAGAATATATTGTAACTTTGAAGAAATACTTGATCAGATCAATGAAAATTTGAAGTCGTAGACGGTTAGTTTGCTTTGTTTATGCAGGTAAACCTGAGAATGTTTTGATTGGTCAATCAGTCTGAAGTCACACATTGTGTCTACATTGTGCCTTAACAATACGGTTTTGCGATATCCCTGACAAATATGCGTAGGAAGAAATGGAAATCTTGAAACCGCTGAATAACGTATCATAATATCAGCGGTGATGTATGAGATTGTACAAGGCAGTAATAATTCAAGATAAGATAATTAAAAAATACCAACTTGGGCAAGGCTACCTAATATGCAATTTCACCAATTTCATTTATTATCTGTAAATCATGGGTAGAGTAATTACACTGTGACATATACAGATTCATGAATATTTTTTTGTTGGAATTTGCTTCTCCATGGAGTTGCCCATTTCTAGTTACATAACGGTATTCTAGTTCTATCTATGTCAATAATCTGCAAAAGGCTTATAAGCCCATTTAAGGCAGATGTATAATTTAAATAAAATATAATTTAAACCTTAATACTGTACTTAACAAATAAATTTATTGTTTGATTTCTACTCATTTTAAAATTGGATTTGCCCCCTAAGGAAGTAATTGGTACACACGCTATGTCACGCTACCACGCTACAGGGTGGACTTTTATAGCCATTTATGATAGAAGCGATTTTTGTCATTGACTGAAATGTAATATTTTATACAGAATATACGAGGGTTGTCCCAGAAGTAATGCACTATATGCTCTAACTTTATCAATAATTGATATTTTCCCATGAAATTTTCAGTAAATGTTCCTTAGAAATATTTTGATTATTCTAAAAAATTTCATGTTGACTGATAATAAAACTATATTGATGTTATAATAAAATCAAGTTGGTGAGTTTGGGTAGGGCGGGGCAGGTTATACAGTCACGTCAAAAGGAATAAAAAAATGAAAATATGAAATAATTAATCAACAAATACCATTTGGTGTAGCTATAAGAAGTATGCTCAAAAATACATTTTAAGATACTAAATTACTATGAGCACATCCTAGATTTAATGGATGTATATTGCACAGTGTCCCATTTCACATTTTCTCAAAATATTGCCCTTTGCATGTTATGTACTTTTGATGCCTGTCAGGTCAAACACTCTCGGCAATTTCTTCCACTGTGACTTGTGGAGTTTTTGCCTCCCATGTTTGGAGTTGTCATACAGGGTCAAATCGTCTCTTTTAGATCTCTTCTGCCACCCCATAATTGTAGTTCTATCTGGTATATACTCCTTATATACTTTCTTCATGGTAGCATTGTTTTGCGTGGCTGTGGGTCCAAGTGAAGTATGAAATTAGGCCGTCAAACGCAAGGCCTTCTGTTATCAGGTGGGAATTGCAGCCATTTTTGCAATTTCTTGACTGTGACTGTATTTGAATTCGTGACTATTGAAATGTGGTATTATGACATCACAGTACTAAATATCATTATTCGTACTTGGTTAACATCATGCTGAATGAATTTAACAATTTCCCAAACATTTTGACCATTTAAAGGAAAGAAATATTAATAAAATAACACTTTAAGATCTTTTCATAATTAGAAAAATTGGAACCTGCCCCGCCCACCCCTACCCCCATGTTGTTATAGCAACCATATCAAGACTTAATATCAATGTTGGATGCTGAAACTTCAGGATATAATAGATAAAACTTGAATTTTTATATACACAAAATTTCAGCTGAATTGAAGAATATTAAAGAAAGTTAGAGCATATAGTGCATTACTTCTGGGACAACCCTCGTACATATATACTAATAATACACATACTTAGAATGTTTGAAGCACTTTTAGGAGAAAATAGATTATACATATATATTGTTGGCCTTGTTTTCAGAAATGATATATACATAGAGTACATATGTACTCTGAAACAATCAACAGATATGCCTAGGTCAAGATGACATTTTTGCTCTCAGTATCTCGTGAAATTATTTTGATTTCATAAACCGGTAACTGGCATTAATCAATAGTGCAGCTCCATTCTATTCAATTTATTCATTCTTGTACGACAAAATTGTGCAGCTCTAATATCCTGTTTTCTCCCTTGTTCAAGTTCTGCAATGTAAGTATCCCGGGCACATTTCTTTATATCAATTAATTCACTTCCTCTGTGCTTGGTTAGTGATCGTGTATTCTTATTGCATCTCAAGGCATTCAATAACTAGCTGTGTAACAAGATAATCTTGTAGAAATAGGCTCATTCATATGAATCTCTCTTTTCTAGTATATGCTTAGCATTGGAACAACTGATTGATGATACATGTGCAAATCTGTTGAAAATCTGATGATGAAAAATGCAGTGATCTTCCCATGTCACTTTTACCCGGGGAGACCCCTACTTGAAACATTTTATATAATAGACTTCACTTTCCTGTAGTTCTTGATTGTGTAATAGAAATGTAAAGTATTTCAGTTGTACTCTACACAAATGCTCGACATGTTCCTACTTCCCACAAGTATAGACCAAGTGAGCATTATTTAGAACAGGAAAACAATACTTTAG